AATTCTTGGCGGCACACGCTGACATAGTATAGTAGTCTTCTTATTCGGTCACGCTTTAATCAGTTTCCGCTTTAACCGGCCACATTTTCGGTAGGAGTTCCAATAGGGAAACAATTGACACATTTCGTACTACGTTCGGACTTAATTTTGAAATAAAATAAAAGACAAAAGCTGAAAGTGTAAAGAATTGAACCGAAGTGTTCTGTTCTTGTAGTTGAATATTGCAATCCAATCTTTTTTATCACTTTTTAAGATTCTATCAAAAATTTAATATTCTGTAATGATCATACAACTTTTTAACTGTATTTGGATCGCAGTCAGCTCACATGAACATATAATATATAATAACATTCTATATTTCATACGTAAATGAAATAAATAATATTTGGCACATATTTTCTGATTAACCGGCCATTCATTTTAAGAGGGAGTACTATAGTAGGATCTCCGTATCCGTATACGTTATTACATTGAAGCTCGTCTGATCGCTTTAGAGCTGTACGAGTACTCTCTACGAAAGCGAGCAGAGTTTAACTCGGTTCGAATAGCCGATCCAATCCGAGTACTCGAAAGAACCGAGCAGCTTGAGTTGTTCGGTTTTTGCGTAAATTATTATCGAGATATCAGCTTCCAAGTTTTACATGTCGCCGGCATCAGCGTTACACGATGTATACACCGCGAGGACAGATAAAGATGTTTTTCATAAAGCTACTACTGGTATAGCATTGTCGGAATGTAATGTCGCAGTTTTCCTAAACATTGTCAGACTGTGCAACCTCCCCGTAATGAAAGTGTCAATTTTTTTATGTATATTAATCACAGAGGTTAAACATGGAAAACGATAGATGGCCAGATGACCGCTTCTATTCGTAACATAAAATCGAGCTCTTTGGGGTGGATTTTGCATGTCATTTCTAAAGGTGTCTACGGTAATGTTAATTTTTTGGCGAATATTCTCTTTAAGTTGTCGAATTCTTGTTGGTTTATTAGCGTAGACTTTGCTCTTTAAGAAATTCCAAAGAAAGAAATTGGGGACTGTCAGGGTAGGGGTGCTACCACTGTTGGAGTTCAAATGGCTTGGAAACTTTTTTTTTTCGTAGAAGTTGTATCGTATCATATGTCGTACTGTTGGAAACACATGTTCTAGATCTAACTCGTCCACTTTTTTACAACAGAGGTGTTCGATTCTTGTTCAACACTGTCACGCATGCTTCGAATATTTTCCGCCGAGCATCTGGTTCGAGGATGGCAAAAATGTGGTCTAGCTGCCACAGGGTCAAACTCTTGGAAATTCTTGGTCAAATGTTAAATTATTTCGTGATCAGGCATGCGATTTTTATCGAATTTTCTTATACACAATATGAGCGTACTCTGATTTGCAATATAAATTTCTACGATAAACGCACATTCTTGAACTGTGTAGCATTCCAGATTAAATCTCCCATGTGTCTACCCCACAACTGTCAAATACCAACTGACACCGTTGTGTCATACTAAAATGGTACTCAATTAAAGTATGAGATTAATTTTTGATACAATCTGCAGATGTGACAGTTTCGGCCAATAACAAAAATACACATGCCCTATCTTCATGATTCTGCAAGAGAAAGTGGGCCTGGTACACTATAACCAATCAGACCCGCCATTCCTTCCACTAGGCAACTTCTCATCTCTGCACAGTACTTTTCCTTTGCCTGCAACTTCGACCGATCTTGAGTGGTTATTGGTACTTAGTTCGTCCAATTGTGAACCATGTTTGTATATTACAAAATATACAGTTCAATTTAAAAAATAAGTGGTATTCATGAAATCTTTTTGACATTTTTATGTACAAAAAGCAAATTAGGCCGAAAAGTAGGTTTTCTTTTGACATTGCCAATATTATGAAAAGTATTCAATTGTCCCACTTTATGTACCTCACCTTATACGATACTTATATACATACGTTTTTTTCTCAATCGATAAAAACTTTACTGCGAAATTAATTCAATTTTCGGCCGCTCGGCTGGTTCAACGTATATTTGATTTTTTCTCGTTTCCGTTCCATTAGCTTCTTTATTTACTATCTCGACTTAACCATATTTTTCTTACGACTCACTTGCCATTACCTCGCCAACCGAGTTACCATCCTACCTCTTCATATTACTTATATAGCTTGATATCCTGGTGTTGCGATACAGTAGTGAAGAAACTGCTTTTTGGGCACGCTACTGACAGTCGTTCGAAGTTGTCATTCTAAGTAAAAAAGGAAAAATTCCCCCTCAAAAATCTGGTGCATAGTTTCTATGATAACTGTCCCTTCCTTCTTTATACTCCTTAAAAAGTTGCAAATTTTCATTATCATAGCTTCTGATCAATAAAAATTAAATATACTTAATCGTGCATTGTTCCTAATATTGTTGGTATTAATATGAATATACTTTTTAGTCTTCGTAAAAACATTTTTTTTTTAATACGAATATGTATTTTAAAAACTATGTTTAAAGAAAGGAAGAGGGAAGGGATCACCCGTTATTGGCATTGTTCTTCTTATTGTGGTGTGTATTATGATAAAAAAGAAACTTGCAATAAGAACAAACGTAATGTATCTCCCTCACACCATAGCCTAGCTTTTGTGTCACACAAACGATTTTACATATGTCAAGTCAATTCACAGTAAGTAAACGATTTCACGTTACTGAATATATGTAACTATAACACCTATATATATATATATACTTGCAGCTGTTTCTTATACATTTAATGATAGAAGCGTCTAATTTAACATTGAAGAATGGGGGGGGATAACTACTGATTAAAATTATTTCTGAGATATACTGTGCAATATCAGTAAATGTTGTCTATTAGAGCCATATTTCAAGAAAAAAAAGTAACATTTCTCAGATGGAGATTTGAATTGAGAATAATATAGAAATAGTTGGTAATAGTGATCAAATTTTTTGCTTCCACTATTATTCAGATTTCTTGAATCTAATAAGTCATAAGAAACATAGAATAAAATACGATATGAATTTCTGATGTTTATTTTATTATTAGATTTATATTTATTTGTGAAAGTGTTTTTGGAGCAGTGTCGTGGAAGATCGGCTGACAGCCGAGCGATTCGCTCATATTATAAAAAGTGAAGACATCAAATGAGTCTCTTGTATGGTGTGAAGTTTTGCGTGGTATCACCTTTGTGAGTTTGTTGTGACTTGTATTGCATCGCGGCACACTGCATGCTGAGCTCAATTCCTCATATAGTTTGGCAATTCGCATTGGTAAGACGCTAGGTAGAGCTGTCAATAATAAACCATTACGGGTGTATCGTGTAGTCCCAGAAAACTCGAATCTGTTTCATTTTGTCATTTTGTAAAGTAGTATATAAAAGTATATATTAAGTGCGCTCAGTTGATTTGAGAAGTTTCCTTTTATTCATTTTTAATGACTTATATAACAATTTGAAGAGATTATTTAAGATAAACGGTAAATTATAAATAAGCATTAGAGATTATTACATTATTTTTTGACTTATTACGAAAAGAAACATTTTTGTGAATCTTATGTGAGGAAATACTATCGATCGGCTGTCAGACAATTTCCCAGGTTCAGAAGAATAAGAATTTTCTGGATCAGTTCGGAATACATTGAAAGAAATTTCGTATTAATAGATTGATGGGTCGATTGAAAATGAAATTTAAACGCTTCTTTCAAAGTTCCGTAACTATCTTACAAGATATACCTTTCTACTGAACGATACGCGGTCTCCAAAAAGAAAAGCACGAAATTTGTATTGATCGCGAAAAAGAAGACAGAGAGGCGCACACATAGTTTTCTTTCTTTCTATGTTTAATGAGTACTCTCGTGACGTAAGTACATAAGAAGATTATTTACAAATTGTTAAGAAAATGTTATCTAAGAAATTTAAAGAACAAATGGGAGAGAAAGATTATTTGGAATATGTTGAATTCACATTATGTTATCCTTTGCAGGAATGATAGGAGCGTTGCCACCGGGCGCAATGCATCCGGCATTTGCAGCTCCAATGGGTTTTCCTGGTGCACCAATGTTGGCCCCAATGATGCACCCACGCTTCAGATGATCACCTCCCATGGACGGGCCCACTCCGCCACTGCACTTCGTGCTCTGGGCCCGCCCCTAAATTTTATTAGGGTCCGGACCTGACTGAGAAGAGGAAAAAAGCACGCGTAAAACATATTAGCTCGCGTGGGCACACTTCGTTGATCGGCCGCGGCTGCACTTGACGCATCCTCTCCCACGAAGTTAGCAAAATCTTTGTTTTTTTTTTTTCTTATATCATTGCAAAACACGTCACGTCAGTGCCTGAGAGGGTTTACCAGGTGCAGTGGAAACGGTCGGTCGTTCGTCTTCGATTTTACTTCCAGTAAAAACATTGAATAAATGTTATTCACTTTTACATGTGGTCTGTGCTCGCGCGATATCAGCGCAACGACGTAACTTCTTCCGAAAGGAGTCTGAAATGCCAGGTGAGCAACGAAATCTATTTTTTTTTTTTTTTACTGTGAAATCAATTTTATTACTCGCCCAGAGGGCGTAATAAGGATTTGGTCCTTCGGATTACTCCTTTTATGGGTATTTGTTGTTGCGTTTTCATCTGAGTACCTGGTATTGAAATTGTAGTTACTGAAAAGGATGATGGTATCGTGTTGTTAATGGCTGTATGAGCACGAAAGCTTTCGCGTAGAAAACTCGTAAGCTGCTGATGCTGATACAGAAATTTTATTGTTGTAAAATCATATATAAGCAATGTTACGTTGCTCATCGTGATGTGAATTGTGAAATCAGCTCTGGAAGGTGTAGATCTTTCAGCTGATAAGTTTAAGTAGAATGAACTTCTATACGATCTTGGGTTGTCCTTTTATTTTACGGTAGACCGTTTCCACGCGCTGTTTCTCAGCCTCTGCACCAGTGTTCTCTTGGAGAGACGCGATTGCGGAAAGGTGGCGTTTCACACTGCAGCTCGAAAGAGGGTTCTCTTTCAATTAAATCTTTACGTTTAGTTGTTTTTTTTTCTCTCTTTTTTAACAAAAGTGTTTTCTCCATTTTATCAGGTGTATATATTAACCGTGTGATCTTGATTTCTATATGCTTTACTATAACATATCGGTCGTATCATTTGATTTCCTTACTAGAGGAATATTAAAAAAGTGTAAGCCGCAGTGTGAATATTCTGTCGCCTCAGGTTAGTTTGCCATAACTTTTATTTTGTTAACACTTCAGATCGAGTCGATTGACTTTTGGTCCATAATTCACCTTTTCCTTTGTACACATTCTTATGTGATATTTTAATTCACTTTTTCATGTGGTGCTCACTTGATGGTTATTTAAGGATTATTTTATTATTTAATACGACAAATATTGAGATTTCTATAATAGATAGCGCAATAAATATACACCTCACAAAAACACAAATACACATACACACATAATTTCGTCAGTACGTTCTATATAAGTAAAAGAAAAAATTGTTATATAAACGTATGTCGTTTGAAGCTTTAGTAAAAAATTGTAACGGTATGTAGTACAAAAAGAAAGTAATAGACTTGCTCTTAGTATGGCGCAATGTAGAAAATTCGTAGAGCAATAAATTTATTTTTGCAAACTTGTACTAGTAGGAATGACCAAATTTTTTTAACGGAGTTTAGTATTAGCGGTAAGTAATTATATTTAACATTGGCTTAGGTTAGTCCGAGCACACTGAACCACTAATGGCAGCCATCGATTCAACCCCACTAGAGGAGTAACCCTGATAGCGATGATACGTGACTACGTTGCGCTGCAGTAATGACTGTACCTGCAGATTCTTCTGTTAAGATCCGCAGACACGGTCTAATACATTGCAACTGTTTGTCAGCTCTTGCAATTGCACTAGCGTTGTTGCATCAGTGTTCGACATTTGATGACCTCCACAAGTGGTCCAATGTGTGTTTGGCCTTTCTTTCACTTGGTATCATACATTATATAAAAGCAAGTCTATTATTGCTTTTCCTGTATTTCATAGTCTTATAATTTTTTAATAGAATCTCCAGTGACCTATGCCTCTGTAACTTTTATTCTTGTTTCTACATATAGAACGTACCAATAAAGTTTGCTCGGAAAATCCTACAACGTATATTTGTACATAGACGATCAAATATTTTTATTGCTATTAACAATACAAAAAATTATTTGAGAACAGGTTGTTTGTGTTAAGAAGGCATTTCCAATAATCTCACAAAAAATGCTTGAAACAAAAGTTAATCAGCCCCGACCTGGCTACAAACTGCAATAAAAAAATTCTTCAATAAATTCCTTTTTCAATAAAAAGTTAAGGACGACACCTTGATGTTTACGAATGGCATTATGTATTTTTGACTTGATAGGGTTGTGGTTGACGCCAACTATACTATGACCCTCACATGACCTTGAATTCAAATATTTTGAGTCAATGATTAGAAACGTTGATATGGAAAATTGTTTTATTTCAACCGAATTACATATTCAAAACAACACTAGTACTGCCAAACTAATAAGTTTATTAAACATAAGCGAAATAAATGAAATCGGTTGAAATAACGTTTCTGATCATTGAGCCAAAATATTTGAATTCAAGGTCATGTGAATGTCATAGTACAGTATGTCGCTGAATTCGTCCTGGCGTCAACTACGACCCTATCAAGTCAAAAATGCATAGTGCCTTTCGCAAACATCAAAGTGTCCTTGACTTTTTATTGAAAAAGCAATTTGAAAAATATTTTTATTGCAGTTTGTAGCCAAGTCGAGGCTGATTAACTTTTGTTTCAAACATTTTTTGTGAGATTGGAAATACCACAAAAATGGTGGAAACTTTTAGACTTTGTATATCGAGATCATCAACACGTGTTTCAAATAAAAATATATACATATTTTTTTCATATTTTTATTATTAGCGAAAAATAAATTGATTCATATGTGTTGCAATAATATCCAGATGACTGGGAAAGAAATTAAATTTTGT